ACATGATGTCAGTCTTGTCATTGGCGATGCTACATTTGGTCACTTGGCTAAGAGGGTGTCTGTGTCCGGCTTGCTTCTGAGAGTTCCCTGGTGGTCCCCTGTTCAATGGGTGCTGTGTTTGGACCCAGCACGTTCAGTGTTATTTTATATATTCTGTCCAATAGGTTTGGCTCCTCTTTGTGAAAATATGCCCAGTGGCAGGGCCAACAAGCCTGGGGATGTCGTCAGAGCCAGGAATGGGAAGACCATACAGGTTTGTAAGTGGAAAACACAGCATTCCCCATTGGCAGGGCCTCACAACATCCCATGGTGGCCCCTTCAACTTCAGTGGGAGCAGAGCCCTGGCACCATGTTAAGGGAGACTGGATTCTTTGGTGCTGAGTAGCTTTTCTTGCAGAGTCAAAAGTCTCACTTTCTGGGAGTTGTACTTATTTTTTTTTGGGCAGAGTCTTACTCTGTCACTCTGGGTAGAGTGCAGTGGCATCATCATAGCTAAAAGCAGTCTCAGTCTCCTGAGCTCCAGACAGTGATCCTCTTGCCTCAGTCTCCCGAGCAGCTGGGACTACAGGTGCCTGCCACTATACCTGCTAGTTTTTCTACTTTTACTAGAGCTGGGGGTCTCACTCTTGGCTAGGCTGGTCTCAAACTCCTGAGTTCAAGCAATCCACCCACCTCGGCCTCCCAGAGTGCTGAGATTACAGGCGCCAGCCACTGTGCCTGGCCTCCTTGTGGGATCTTTAAGGATGTTGACCCTGCCTTCTTGTTCTTCTCACTGTGTGTGCTGCACACACAGATTACCAGGAATTTGCAGTCACATGCAGAGTGAATATTAGGTTTTTTGTTTTAAAGTATTTCAGAATGAACCTTATAAAAAAGAAAGAAAACAGTTGGCACAGCTTTTCTGGGTGTATGTGGGCTGTCACTTTTTTCCATTTTAGACATTCAGGTGGAAAACACCATCCTGTGTCATGGGCTCTGCACTCTTGGGTGTGTGCCAACAGGCCCTCCATGTGGCCCAGACACTGCTTATGACTGGGCCTTGTAAAAATCAGAGACTACAGTTACAGAGGGTCACCGAGGCTGCCAGAGTTCTTATAGCTTTCTGAAGTTCCTTACTTAGCCTGTTTGTTTTCAGAAATCTTTACATTTCCCCCCTTTTTGCTATATACTTGTTGGTAAAATGGACATTTTCCTATTTATTTCATCTTCCATAGTCATCGGCCTTAGGTCATCATCTCAGTATAGAGATCATTAAATTGTATTTGCTCTCCAGATTAGATACGTCCCTGTTCCTGCTGACGTGTAAGTGTGTAACTGGTTGATAAATGTCCCAGTAGTCTTTTCCCCCTTTCCAGTCCAGCACTGTTATGAGTGTTCACTTGTACAGTCACTCTCTTACCTCTTCTGGTTTTGATCTTCT